CCTTCCGAGGAGAGGTGTGTCAATCAAGTCGCCCCTGTGATCAACATGGAATGCGCGTTCAAAGGAAAGCTAACGATGAGCAGCAACTGAAGAGGGAGGCGCTGTTTGGCTTGGGAGGGTCGATTTGCACTCCATTAATTCTCTTTTCTATGTCATGTTGACTACCAGGTCTCACCATGAGAACTCATAGGAAGCTGCAAAGTGGTGCAGTAAGCCGCTTTGGTTGCAAGATATACAGGTACGAGGTGGTTTGTCAGGCCACGCTGAATGCCATTCGGTGCCCCCACCGAGCCAAACTGCGCTCAAAAGGGTTTAGACTGAACTGTTTAGAGTAGAATGAATACTTACCTTTCTAGCCTGTTCATCTACCTTGGTCATGAGTCTGTAGCCAAGCAGGTAATACAAGTACATTACCTGCAACAAAACATCAGCCATTACTCTTAAACTCTCCCTTTCGCCGTCAACCCTCACCTGGCTCCATCTCTTTCTGTGTCGAATTTTATTCTTGTCCTTGAGGTGAACAGTCAGTTTGTTCTTGCCGGGTAGAATGTACTGTAATCGGCCACCATAGGGAGTAACGATCTTCTTGGGAGGTCTGAGCCTCATTTGGGTCTGATGAACAGCGCTAAAACAAATTGTTAGGGAGAATTGTAGACCACAGAGCGAGTGGTGTGCAAACCTTGCAGCTTGATCAACAACTTCGACGATTTGCTTAACGAACTTGTTGATCACCGAATTGCCAGATTCGTCGGTGTCAAAGGCATCGTCGAAAAATATGTGGCTGCTTGAATCAAGCACAGTTCCACACTGGTGGTAGGAGGCAGTCCGCCCTCTCAAAAATGCCTCTCTCTTTACTATTGCTCTTCGGCGGCACGCATCGATGAAAGGCCACGATGGGTAGGCGCCTAGCTCCGCACCCCCGTCCCCAAAGAACAAAGGTGGAATATGCCATGCGAGAAGAGTGAAGGGGCGTGGCAGTTGAATCGCCCCTTCGCACCGATTGTTGCAGGTTCCAGATGCATTATTCGTTGAAAAAGGCTTGCCGTTTACGCTCCTTCCGCCCCTCTCCTCTCCCAGACGTCTTCTCTTTGTTAGTGATAGGACTGTATAGTGGTATCGTCGCAATCAGTCGGGGCGATGTCGGAAGGAGTAGTATCAACCCGCTTCCAGTTGCGTTTTCTAGCAATTGCGATCGGTACAAGAAGAAAACAGCGGCAGAAAACGCAGCCCTTGGGGACATTTCATTCCTCCTTACAACCGCGCCCAACTGGATGCGGCCGGACATCGAATGTAAAGGACCGGCCCAGAGGACGGAAGGTTGACAGCAATTTCAGCAAATGTCGGACACAAAACAAATAGAACTTCCAAGTATAAAGGCGTGGTATAGTACCCTTGAAAATTGCGCGTGTAATCAAATCCGATGGTTCCGTGAACGCACACATTTGGGCATACCGTAAGAGTAAGAGCCGGGGCGCAGGAGCAGAATTCAGATGACCCACGACTTCTATCACGCGCAGACAGTTGCTGGGATAGAACTAGGGGGTGCTACTGAATTCCGCCTGTTTCCCTGAACTTGTAATTCACTACCTTCAAGTACTTTTGAGCGTTCCGCCTTGCACATTGATCCTCATCCATACGGAAGATACTCTTCAACATACATGTCATTTCATGCGTCGTCTCATGCCACATCGTAGCACATGCGTAGATCTTTTCGTTATTGCATCTGCACTGCTAGCCGCATCTCTCTGGAATCGATTCTCATTCGGGGCAGTTGCCCCTTCCAAATATCTCACCCACTCACCTTATCAGACCATTCTCCAGTTTGCTGCTGCTCAGGCTGCAGACCGATGGGGGTGGTTTGCTTACAGGTCCCATTCCAGGAATTGTCTCATAAGTTCAGTGAGTTGTCTTCCTGGTCGAATTCCAGGTCCTGAAAAGTAGTGATGGGAGTAGTTCTGTTTATCGATGCTTTCATAGGCGCAAACCAAACCCTCCGGTCTGATTTTGGCTTTGTCATCTCTTCTTCGATTGAATGCAATAGATTGGTCAACGAACGCACCAATAAAGTATGGAAGAATGAAGAGCCTGGAAATATTGCCTGATTCAGGGCTACCCGTTCTCTTGTTAAACTCGTGGTTCAGCTTGGTGGGGGACACAAATGATACCAGCCAGAAATTGCACGAGCAGTACCTGTGAGTTCTGTGGCCGAAGTGGCTCACCTGTACTTAACCTTACAAGAGTTTCTACAGGTCTCACCAATGTAAGACCTGTTAGTTAATACGAGAAATCAAAAGAAATTAAGGGAAGTGCAGCATGCCCCCCCCTTCCCCTCTTCTGACCGAGCAGTAATAGAACCCATTTACATGAATAAGCACCCCTTATATGGCGGTGGTCCTTGAAGCCGATAGGTGGAAAACTAGAGAAGGCGCGTGAATGAGGAAAGCACAATGATTATGGGTCGCCACCCGGAATCACGGTATCGCCTTTAGACCCTTGTCCATCCTGTGAGCTGTACATTCTTGCATTGCTGACCGCGCCCAAGCCATTCTCCTGCGAGGGCAGTTCGGTCGGTGCGCACCGAATGGTCTGTCTCTCAGCCAAGTTTGCCGACCTTGTGGAGACTTGTAGATTCCTATGACCAAAGTAACTCGCAGAATTTCGCAGCTTCAAGGATTTTACAGGTCTGATCAGCGAAAGTGCAGAATGTCCCCTCCAAGCCGAACAGTGCCCCACTGCGTGGAATCGCGCACTTCTTTCGCGTAAAATCACGGCTCACTTTACGCGAGCAACGATGCTATGTGAGTACACTTTACTAGCTTCGCTCTCAGGGGATTATGTATCATTTTTAGTGACAGAAAGTCATCAAGCAAACACTAAACTAGCAGTACCAGTGATACAGAAGCGCATAAAGTAACTCATTAACGATAAAAAACATCCGTTGCGCTAACTTTCACTTTTCACTTCTGGCCAAGGTCCTGTGTTTCGGAGTCCACAAATGGACAGTGATCCAGCACTGACTTATGAACCAACTCAACCAAATCCATGATTGAGGTGAAGAGAGGAAGGCAGTGAAGGACGAGTACGACGAGAAACACTTCCAGAATAACTCCTGAAATCAAAATCTAGTTTCTCTCAGTTGTTAGCAGGCTTTATCTGAGTTCTTATGCGCACATCTCGCCTATCAGGAAGACGTGGCTAGCCGTGCGGGCGGAGTCGGGAGACGGCTCCGGACCTCACCAACCGCACCCCTCCCACCCCATCAATGCCGTGCTGCACTTCTGAGCGAGAAAGTGGCACACTATTGCAGCTACGGGCCCATTCGCCACGGCAGGGACTAGGGTCCATACACAATTCTTCTCTGAGAGGGCTGCTTGCTTGAACTATTTGAAGGCAGGCGATCACAACGGCATTTGGTCACAATGCGCTAGGGGCGGGCGTTACTGCCAACAGGTTCCCCTGTGGAAGGGCTGAGTGGGATGTGGCCAAACGACTGCTCGCACCCCTTTGACGTTGTTGGCAGTGACTCCCGGCCATCGTGCCCACTGCCTTTAGGAGTGATCTCCCGGCGCTGTTTATCGACGGGGGGGCATTTTGTATTATAATTGCTTCCCTGGTTCCGGTTTACAAATCTCACTCTGGTAAAACTTGTGAACGCTTGTGAAGCTGGAGCAAGATCGTCTAGCCACCATCCTAAAGCGCCTCAATCTCCCTAGAAAGCAAGAACAGAACCTTCGTGAGTGTGCTGGTCATATGACAGGAGTCTGTTGATCGAAATGTGCAGGTGGTCGAGAGTACGAACACTGTGGTAGGTACTGCCAGTGCCATGGGCAAAGCGAAACCCAATCTTTGCATCATCACCTAAATGAAGACTCGAAAGGTTTAGTACTGCTCCAGAAAATCCCCTTGTTGACTGTAACTTACCTTACAAGCGAATTTACTGCTATGATAGCAAAGAAAAACAGCTGACACTTGGACGAGAGCGATCCAGAGAGCATCATACGGTGAGGTGAACTGGATTCGCAGCCTTCAACGTAGTGTCGTAAGAACTGCAATGAGCAGAGATATCATGCCCCGAACAAGCGCCTTCCTTGCAACCCACGCTGAGCCAGCACCCACATACCCAGAGGCCGGCCTAAAAATGCATTCAGAAGTTTGACGCCGAGATTTCCACGAAACAGGGCTTCCTCAAATCCTAAAGAAATTCAAAAAAATATCGTAAGTTACTTTTTCATTTCTGTCACGACGCCAATGAGGAAAGAAACCTCCGACATCCTGCTGCTATTTTCCTCTCTCTCTCCCACCCTCTCCCTCTCCCCTTGTCCTCGAAAACCACTTCTTGAAAGCGGCATTTCCGTAATAAACGGGTGGGCGGAGACTGACAACCATTGGACAACCTACTGGTGGATCAATTCCTCATGTAAAGTGAGGATTAACATGAGCGGACGGTCTCATTAGTTATTCGACGAGAGTTGATAACCCTGTACGGAGCATAGAGAAAGGAAAGTTTTGAATCTTCTCCCATCAGGGAACAGATGAAGCCGGTCCTAAAAGGTTCCAGCCTTCAAGGATAGGCTTCATCTGGTTACCGAAAAAACCCTAATGGGCTTGAGAAAATTCGACCAATCAGCATGAACCTCCTCATCCTCCTCCACCTGCCTGCGGACCTAAACGCACCATCACTCCACTCGTTATCCTCGGCTTCCTAAGCTGTCAAGGATAGGCACATCATCACCGGCATCGCACATTGTGGATTTAACGAGTCGACCCCCCCCCCCTAAAAGGTGGCTAGATACGACCTTCCCCTAGTTCCCTCCCCATCGAGCTTTCGAGCGTGGAAGGGCATACAGTACATACGAAACAGGAAAGAACACGAAAAAATTAACCTTTCTCGGAAGGCCAGGTAACAAATACGACCCCTCCCCCTCTCAACAACAAGCAAATACGACCCACCCTCTTCATATCGACCGTGAAACAAGAAAAATCAACTATCAATAAAAGTTCCTCAGACCAAATAGGACCCCCCCCTATCATGCCATGTTGTGGTATCCCCAACATGGCATGATCGTTTCCCTAACGCTTGACGCCAAAAAAGTTCTCGTGAACGGAAAAAATTTTGGCAAGGCTGGATACAACCCCACTTCTCAGACTTCAGATGAGCAACAACGATCCCCCTCCCCCAATGTTAACCTCTCAACTATGTGGATAGCGCGCGTGAATACAAAAAAAATCAATGATGAAAAATTTTCTCTAATACGAATACGACCCCTCCCTCCTCCCCAGCGACCAAATACGACCCCCTCTGTTAGGGGATTCCCATAATGACGTACCCTGGTCGAGAAAGAGATAGGTGAGCACAGGGCACAT